GTTAAGATTTTTCATTCATTGATTTTTTCGCAGTCGAGTGATGAGGAAGAAGTGGAAGGAGGAGGAGAGAAGAAGAAGAAGAAAAATAAGGGTTTGAAGGAGAAAATCAAGGAGAAGGTATCTGGTGATGACAAGGAAGAAGAGAAAATTGAGAAGTACGAATTTGAACCAGTAGAGAAATGTGATGAAATACCAGTTCATGAAGAATCTGAGAAGAAGGGCTTCCTAGAGAAGATCAAGGAGAAACTTCCCGGCGGCGAAAAGAAGGAGGTGGATGTGGAGGTGCACCCACCACCATATCCGGCCGCCGTTGAGTGCGCCACCCCTGAAGGCGAGGCCAAGGAAAAGAAGGGTTTCCTGGATAAGATCAAAGAGAAGCTCCCTGGGCACCATTCCAAGACTGAGGAAGAAAAGGATAAGGAAAAAGAAAAGGAGTCTGCATACCATTAAGGAATAATTACATATGGCATGGGCCTTTTGGGGTGTGTATTTGAGTGGTGTGTCATCGTTTGGGTGGTTTACTTTCTTTTTAATTCTCGTATATAACTATGCTTATATACGTATAAATCAAAAGTTTGCTTAATTAGGGTTTGTATTATGGAAGTGATCATTGCGGCGATTGCTTCAGTTTGTAATTTATTATTGTGAGATCGTATATGCAAAATTATTTGAATTCGCTTTTATACATCATTTGTAATTCAGTGTTAATCTAGTTTCATGATGCATCTATTCGACTAAGCAAAAGAATGTTAATTTATTTCAATCATCAATATTTATAAATATAAATTTTGTGTTACTGTTTACCATAAATTATGGTAAAATGTGCTTGCTTTTCGATTTTCCTTGAAAAAATCAAAGGGTTAGACCCTATAATAATCAACATCTCTTTTTAGTTATGTCTAATATTTAATCAAATTAAATGTATTAAAATATCATCTTAACTTGCTTTTACACAATGATTATGATTGTATGCTATTCGTTTCTTGTGAAAATGCCAAATTATTAAAATTTGAAAAAACAGCTTTATGATAATGAAAAATATACTATTATAACATGTTCTAGTCTTGTCGACATTCTTTCGGTTCAATGGATACACGTAGATGGATACATTTAATAATTGAGTTGTGACAGGACCCCTCGAGAGTAATATCTAGCAAGTAGTTAGTATGCCTTTCGATGGGGATGGATTGTGTTTGGGGTCTCACCACATACTGGACTACTTGATTTAATTGTCGTTGATTTCTTTGTATTTGTCAGAAAAAAAATATTACAGCAATGAAGGAAAAGGAGAATAAATGAATGGATATAAATCAAAGAAAACTTGAACATGAAGAATATATAGTTCTCAAAAGATATTTGCCTTCTCCACAATATTTTTTAAAGATAAAGTTTGGCAAATTGTTTGTAGGATATAATCAAACCTTGACGAAGAACACCCAAAACTAAAAGTGATCTTTAAAATGAACAAGTGAAAGAAAAAAATTGATTATGTAGAGAGACAAAGTTTCTTGCAAGATAGGATTTGCAATTGATTTTTCATGTAACTTTTTTTTTTTTTTTTGGCCTTGAACTTTGATCACCTATTTATAGATCTTGGTCAATTCACACGAAATGGTGCCAAAATTGGGATGAAA